TTTGTTACAGCAATCCCCTTATTGTGTTTTATGCATTTAAATAAAACAATTATTTATATTGCCTTTTTTGTTGTGTTTTACCACAACAATTTATTTACTTATTTTTTTTATACAAAACTAAACTAATATAAATACATGTTTATATTACATCAAATAAAAGTCATATAAATCAATAATAATATAATAAAATAAAATTTTACTTATTTTAAACAATTTTTAGATAGTACCATTTAACAAAAACATTTTAATATTTAATTTATTTTAATTTTTATTTTAAAACTTTAATTATTTCTAACATATTTTACAAATAATTTATAAACACATACAAATATATAACTATAATAATACATTTACTGACATACATACAAATAAATAAAAATTTACAAATATATATTATTAGATAAGATATTTTCGTAAAATGGTTAAAAATATAATACATTACTATCTGGAATAATTAAGAAGAAACTTTATTAATTAAATATTTATTTATTATTTAAGAAATAAAAACATAAAATCGAATATTTATATCTTATTGAACCAATAAAAACATACAAACTAAGACAATGTAGTCACATCCGTCCCTCTGTTTGCCTAATGAAACCGCGTGAAAGTTAGATGAATGATTTTTTTTATAAATATTTTCATATTAATTTTATAGTGAGTTATCACTATTGGTCCACGATTTCATCTAACCCTTCACCTTCATGCTAAGGGTACATAGAAGTTTGTTTTTCCGTTTGTAATTTTCACAATATAATTTTACGATCCTATAAAGTATATACATATATTCTAGATCCTTATAGATCCTTAACGATTAAGCCATGTCCGTCTGTCTTTCTGTTGAAATCAATTTTCTGAAGACCACAGATATCTTCTTGCAAATTCCGAAGTGCTTTACGTGAGTACCTGCCGTGTTGGCCTATCTCACGGTGGACTTTTTCACTCACTGGGTAGCCTTGAGAACGGTCTACCATCGCCCCTTCAATCTTCAATGAAGAAATCAGGTGGCAATTTTTATACATGGCTAAGCCGGTCCATGTACAAGTACTTTGCTGAAGTACACGAGCTATCCAATCTCTTGCCATGGTAGCCCCGTTGGGGAAGGACAGGTGTCATGAGCAGGCTCAATCTAACTCCGACAAAAGAAAAGGCAATCACTGGTTAGAGTCAATAGAAGGGGCGTACCCAACATCAGGTGTAAACAACCTATTGATGTTATGAGGAATGCTCTGTCCCTACAAACATTCTCATCATCTAAAGATTCACCCCAGTAAATTCCTGGACCTCTTAAAGTCGCCCAACCACACTACTGAGATGGCTTCTGTTGGTTTGACAACACAATAAGAGTTTGAACAATCTCACCAAAAAAATTGGGCGGTTATATCATGTCCACGCCCACTTCGAATGTTAATGCTAATTTTGGTATTCTTGCGTACAATAAAAAGCAATAACAGACAAACTGAATCGACCCATAGAAGATCAGAATTCTTTAAATATGTAGTCGAAGTTATAATAATGACACGCCCACTTTTTATATAGAAAATTTATGCTTGTAAGTCAAAATGCGAGTCAATTTTATAAATAATTTTAAAGTTTTTCGCCCACTGTTCGCTATTGTTTTATTAATTATTTAGTAAAACCGTTAATGTATACAAATATTTAAAACTTTAACGATAATAGTGGATAATTTTTCAAATTTTTAAAAGTGGACGTGGTCAATAAAAATATTTTAGTTATATTTGTTAAGTAAAATGCCGATTTTAACAGTGCTTTAAACAGTGATCAAAAGAGAATTCTCAAATTACGTAAATCAAAACAAGCAAATAACCTTACAGAGGCAGAATAGTCTATCTAAACTCCTTTGAAAAATTTTTGCTAGGACCAATAGGAAAAAAGTTACACTCATTGGAAAAATACCCTATATGACCAAAATGTCTAACTTTGACCCCCTCTAACTCCGGCAGTTCTGGTCTACTATCCAATAGTACAAATTTCATTCTATAAGGTCACTTGTATAAATTACTATAACGTAGATATGTGAAAAATTGTTTTAAACAAACATAACGACAAATGGAAATTGCTAAATCGACTTCGTTATCTATAAGGATTTAAAATATATGTAAATGCTTTATAAGTCCGGAAAATATATATGTACTTTATAAATCCAGAAAAAAGGGAAATGCAGTTACATTATGTTCACAGTTATATATAAAAATTACATTTATTTTCTTAATTTAAACATTTAATACTTTTAATAGCAAATGTGTATAATTAAAAAATGTATAATTTATAAACATACAAATTTAATATTTAGATTTACTTGCTATAAATTTGTATAACTTTTATACCTATAATTTAATGGCATTTTTAAATGACAAATTTAAAAAAATACATAACTAAATACTTATAAAAAGAGATACAAATAAGTAATTAAATAGATACTGTTAAATTGTTTATGTACATACACATATATGGAAATATTAATACCTTTCATATACACCGTTGGAAATTATATTTGATAACATTTTGAGAGATTCTTAAGTATTTTCATGTGAGATTTTGTTAATTTTATGAAAAAATTAGATTTTAGAAAATTATTTAATTGTATTAAAGCTTCTCTCAGAGAACCTGTTTTCTTGATGAAGTTAAATAAAGTATGATTTTTACTTGAATTTATTTCATCTCTGAATGTATAGAATATGTACAACAAGCTTGTGCTAATGATTAGTTTAATTAAGGATTACAATTAGGTATGATTTTTGTTAAATTTGAATTTAATGTCAAAGGTTATATTAAATGACGATTTGGAATCGTATTGTATAGATACTAGATTGAAAAATATAATGCCTAAAACTATACTTTTAATATTTTTCGTTGTTATTTAGTAATACACCATTCAAAAACTTGAGTATATCGATTTGGAAAGAACAGGTGACTGCAAAGTTTTTCTTACCAACTTTTTCTATGCGATTTTTTCATAAAAAAGACGAAAAGAACTGACTAGAACTGAACTAGAACTGAACTAGAACTGAACTAGAACTGAACTAGAACTGAAACTAGACTGAACTAGACTGAACTAGAACTGAACTAGAACTGAACTAGAACTGACTGAACTAGAACTGAACTAGAACTGAACTAGAACTGAACTAGAACTGAACTAGAACTGAACTAGAACTGAACTAGAACTGAACTAGAACTGAACTAGAACTGAACTAGAACTGAACTAGAACTGAACTAGAACTGAACTAGAACTGAACTAGAACTGAACTAGAACTGAACTAGAACTGAACTAGAACTGAACTAGATGAACTAGAACTGAACTAGAACTGAACTAGAACTGAACTAGAACTGAACTAGAACTGAACTAACTACTGAACTAACTAGAACTGAACTAGAACTGAACTAGAACTGAACTAGAACTGAACTAGAACTGAACTAGAACTGAACTAGAACTGAACTAGAACTGAACTAGAACTGAACTAGAACTGAACTAGAACTGAACTAGAACTGAACTAGAACTGAACTAGAAACTGAACTAGAACTGAACTAGAAGAACTGAACTAGAACTGAACTAGAACTGAACTAGAACTGAACTAGAACTGAACTAGAACTGAACTAGAACTGAACTAGAACTGAACTAGAACTGAACTAGAACTGAACTAGAACTGAACTAGAACTGAACTAGAACTGAACTAGAACTGAACTAGAACTGACTAAACTAGAACTGAACTAGAACTGAACTAGAACTGAACTAGAACTGACTAGAACTGAACTAGAACTGAACTAGAACTGAACTAGAACTGAACTAGAACTGAACTAGAACTGAACTAGAACTGAACTAGAACTGAACTAGAACTGAACTAGAACTGAACTAGAACTGAACTAGAACTGAACTAGAACTGAACTAGAACTGAACTAGAACTGAACTAGAACTGAACTAGAACTGAACTAGAACTGAACTAGAACTGAACTAGAACTGAACTAGAATGAACTAGAACTGAACTAGAACTGAACTAGAACTGAACTAGAACTGAACTAGAACTGAACTGAACTGAAGAACTAGAACTAAACTAACTAAACTGAACTAGAACTGAACTAGAACTGAACTAGAACTGAACTAGAACTGAACTAGAACTGAACTAGAACTGAACTAGAACTGAACTAGAACTGAACTAGAACTGAACTAGAACTGAACTAGAACTGAACTAGAACTGAACTAGAACTGAACTAGAACTGAACTAGAACTGAACTAGAACTGAACTAGAACTGAACTAGAACTGAACTAGAACTGAACTAGAACTGAACTAGAACTGAACTAGAACTGAACTAGAACTGAACTAGAACTGAACTAGAACTGAACTAGAACTGAACTAGAACTGAACTAGAACTGAACTAGAACTGAACTAGAACTGAACTAGAACTGAACTAGAACTGAACTAGAACTGAACTAGAACTGACTAGAACTGAACTAGAACTGAACTAGAACTGAACTAGAACTGAACTAGAACTGAACTAGAACTGAACTAGAACTGAACTAGAACTGAACTAGAACTGAACTAGAACTGAACTAGAACTGAACTAGAACTGAACTAGAACTGAACTAGACTGAACTAGAACCTGAACTAGAACTGAACTAGAACTGAACTAGAACTGAACTAGAACTGAACTAGACTTGAACTAGAACGAACTAGAACTGAACTAGAAAATGATCTAGAACTGAACTAGAACTGAACTAGAACTGAACTAGAAACTGAACTAAGAAACTGAACTAGAACTGAAACTAGAACTGAACTAGAACTGAACTAGAACTGAACTAGAACTGAACTAGAACTGAAACTAGAACTGAACTAGAACTGAACTAATAGAACTAGAAACTAGAAACTGAACTAGAACTGAATAGAACTGAATAGAATTGAATTACAATTAGAACTGAAACTAAGTATTATTCCAAAAGTTCACGGACGTACATACCTCCAGAATATATAATGCAAAATATAACATTTGTCTTTCTATAATAGGGAAACTTGAATATTTAATGTCAATTTAATCACAAAACAATTATTCCCTTAATACAATATATCAAAGATTCTTTCTCATAATTTTATCTAAAATTTTTATAAATATATCTTACATACATACATACACATACATACATTTATACACTTATATTATATTTTCTTAATTTATTACATCATAAGTACTTATGTATAAAACATTCATAATTTCTATATTAAAAACTTATATTTTTTTTTCATTCAGCTACTTTGGACTTCATCACATTACTTCGTTACTGTTCTTATCATCATTGTCTTTATACTATATTTATTTAATTCATTTCAATCTCAATTTCTAAATCAGTTTTAAAGTTATTTTCCTGCCTAATTCTTGTCCATTTTCATACAAAGTCTTCTTTATTTTTCAACATTGTTTGAGACTCTGGCGGGGTAATACTTTGTTGAGTTTTGGTATTAGAGAGCCACGTTGTACGGAACAGGTAAAATTTGTGGTACCCGGAAATGAGATGCTATTTTTGTATTTTAAAGCTTTTTGTTTGCAGATGCCAAATCTGTAAGGAAATGGAACAAGGTGTTATTTAACTGTAAACAAAATATTGAAAGTTATACTTACTTGGCTAATAGAGTATACAAATCTTGACGATATTGTGAAGTCAATATGGCATATAAATAAGGATCTGCACACGAATTCAAAGGATAGAAGAATACTAATAATATTTTTGATTTGGTAACATTTATCAAAGGATAACCCGCCAAAGCAGTTAAACCAAAAAATGCTATGGGCGCCCAGCAGGCAAAATTTGTAAAAACCTTTAGATGAAAGGAAGAAATTTAATAAATACTAAAAATCTAACTAAAATAAATTAAACCCACCAGTAATGCCATTTTCTTGGCCACACTCATTTCACCCCTAGAATTACTATGAGCATGACGCGTCTCCTCGCCCAAAGATAAATAGATTTGGCCATAACAAATGGCTATAATAAAAAATGCTGTACCATTTAAAGCCATTATGGCCACCAAATAAACAGTATCAAATGGATCTCTATTTTCCATGGGTAAACAAATACTAAACGTCAGAAAGAAAGAACATGAAAAAAAATTAAAAATTATTTTTAATATTGTAAATATGTATAGGAATTGCTTTATATATTTTAAAACATTTCCTGTCTCGTGCTTTTACTCACCTTGTCGATGAATAATTACTTATACCAAATAATGGCAATAAGGACATAACAACAGAGTAAATCCAACCGCCAATCATGATGAAAGCTGCGGGTCTGATTTTAATACGATGATTCAAGTACATGGCATGTGTTATGGCCAACCAACGTTCTATTGTTATGACAGTCAGTGTAAAGACTGATAAATGACTGGCAAAGACGGTAAGAAAACCGGCCACTTTACAACCAGCACCTGTAATAATCCAAGCAATTGTAGGCAGAGATTAATCAGTTAATCCAACATGTAATAAGAACACAACAAACAACGGAATGAAAGGTAATGTAATTTATAGAACTGAACTAGAACTGAACTAGAACTGAAACTAGAACTGAACTAGAACTGAACTAGAACTGAACTAGAACTGAACTAGAACTGAACTAGAACTGAACTAGAACTGAACTAGAACTGAACTAGAACTGAACTAGAACTGAACTAGAACTGAACTAGAACTGACTAGAACTGAACTAGAACTGAACTAGAACTGAACTAGAACTGAACTAGAATGAACTAGAACTGAACTAGAACTGAACTAGAACTGAACTAGAACTGAACTAGAACTGAACTAGAACTGAACTAGAACTGAACTAGAACTGAACTAGAACTGAACTAGAACTGAACTATAACTGAACTAGACTGAACTAGAACTGAACTAGAACTGAACTAGAACTGAACTAGAACTGAACTAGAACTGAACTAGAACTGAACTAGAACTGAACTAGAACTGAACTAGAACTGAACTAGAACTGAACTAGAACTGAACTAGAACTGAACTAGAACTGAACTAGAACTGAACTAGAACTGAACTAGATGAACTAGAACAACTGAACTGAACTAGAACTGAACTAGAAACTGAACTAGAACTGAACTAGAACTGAACTAGAACTGAACTAGAACTGAACTAGAACTGAACTAGAACTGAACTAGAACTGAACTAGAACTGAACTAGAACTGACTAGAAACTAGAACTGAACTAGAACTGAACTAGAACTAGAACTGAACTAGAACTAGAACTGAACTAGAACTAGAACTGAAATAGAACTGGAACTAGAACTGAACTAGAATAGAACTGAACTAGAACTAGAACTGAAACTAGAACTAGAACTGAAACTAGAACTGAACTAGAACTGAACTGAACTAGAACTGAATAGAAAACTGAACTAGAACTGAACTAGAACTAACTAGAACTGACTAGAACTGACTAGAACTGAACTAGAACTGAACTAGAACTGAACCTTAGCAACTGCAACTAGACGAACTAGATGAACTAGAACTGAACTAGCACTGAACTAGAACTGAACTAGAACTGAACTAGAACCTGAACTAGAACTGAACTAGAACTGAACTAGAACTGAACTAGAACTGAACTAGACTGAACTGAAACTAGAACTAGAATGAACTAGAACTGAACTAGAACTTGAACTAGAACTTGAACTAGAACTGAACTAGAACTGAACTTAGAACTGAACTAGAACTGCAGCTAGAACTGAACTAGAAACTGAACTAGAACTGAACTAGAACTCAACTAGAACTGAACATAGAACTGAACTAGAACTCAACTAGAACTGAACTAGAACTGACTATGTAAGAGATATGGTTCGGACAATTTGGAATAATGAACACAACAACATTTAAAACATTTTCTTAAATTCGTATTATTTTGTAAAGCTAATTTAGATTTACCAGTTTGTGCTTTTATATATAAAAATTCAAAAATAATCTAATTACCATATATAATTATATAATTTGAGATTAGAATATTTTATCATTTAACGGTAATTTTGCTTTACATAGTAAACAAAATCTATAATCTATTTATAATAACAATATCCCACTCAACAATTCAATATAAAGTTTTTCAAATGTCAACTGTCTGCATTGCCAATTCAAAGGTTATTCTATCACACCTGTCTATAGAAAATACAAATCAATTACACCTTAAGTAATCTAGTATCTAACAAGCAGTTTGAAAATAAAATAAGACTATAAATATTGAAATACTTCAGACATACTGCCAATACTTACCATATTGCCAATCATAAGCATAATTGAAATATTCACCCATCGAATGAGCATCAATTGAAGCTATTAATAACAGATATAAACCCAAACACAAGTCGGCAAATGCCAAATGGCACATCAAGAAACGTGGCACTGATGGTGTTTCGGCTCTGCAAAAGGAAGAAGAAGAAAAAATAATTGAAATTTTTGTTGGTTTGATAGAAGGAAAGAGGCTTTCATGCAACACACAGATCATGTAAAAAATTTTTGGTCACTTTACTTTATCGATAGAATTACAACGAGTACTGCAACATTTCCAATAACAGCCAGACCGACAACAATCCAGACAGATGTACGTAACCATTGATAACCCATAACATCTTCACATGGATTTAATGCATTCGGAATGGGATAACATTCTACATCATGTTTTCTATGAAAAAAAGAGATAAAAAAATAAAAATTATTTTATTTAGTTCGGTTTGTATTTATGGGAGAAATCGTTATAAGTTTAAATAAGTTATATTTCTAGGTAAATCAATACTTGACATTACATTTGAAGGATAAATAATAAATTCCGCGAAAGTAACCTGGAGTGCAAGACATTTTTTTAGTTTATATTTAAGTGAGTGAGCTACTATAAGTTTTGTCATAGCGTTAGTGTGTATAGCTTTGTGCAGCAGCACGATTGCCTTAAGGAGCTGTATATACAGACATTAATCTATCTATAGTTCCGACTATAGTCCAAAATATAGTATAGACTAAACTTAAGGACTATAGTCGGACTACAGAATATGATCCATAGACGAGACTATTGTTCAGACTATAGACGAGATAACAGAAGACTATAGTCCAGCTCTTGTCCAGACTATAGTCCAAGTCATGGTACAGAGTATAGTGCAGACTATAGTCCAACTCATAGCATGGAACATAATTAATACTATAGTCCCGACTATAGACGACACTAAAGTAGATACTACTAAGATTTTGAACCTATTACCTCCAATCTTGCACTAACCATCCGATTATATTACCCCACACACGGACTTTGATTGAGGTTTCAAAGTTAGAGTTCCTTCCAACTAACCAACCATAGTCAACAGACTATAGACGAAACCATAGTTAAGGATGTTAACTAGACTATAGTCCTCTCTATAGACTAGAGTAAAGTTCAGACTATATTCAGGACTACAGTCCAAACTATAGTCAAGATTACATACCAGTCTATAGATCAGTATAGTCTAATCAAAACATATAATCTAATACACAATCTTAATGAGACTATAGCACAGACTATAGACGAGACTATAGCCCAGACTATAGACGAGACTATAGTCCTGACTATAGATGAGACTATAGTCCTGACTATAGACGAGACCATTGTCCTGACTAGAGACGAGAATATTGTCCGGACTATAGACGAGACTATTTTCCTGACTATAGACGAGAATATAATCCTGACTATAGACGAGTCTACAGATGACTATAGGCCTGACTATAGTCCTGACTATAGACGAGACTGTTGTTCTGAATATAGACGATACTATAGTCCTGACTGTAGACAAAACTATAATCCTGACTGTAAACGAGACGATAGTCCTTGCTGAATATGATACTATAGTTCTGACTATAAATGAAACTATAGTCCTGACTATAGACGATACTATAATCCTCACTATATATGAGACTATAGTCCTGACTATAGTATTGACTATAGATGAGACTATAGTCCGGACAATAGACGAGCCTACAGATGACACTTTAGTAATGACTATAGACGAGTCTATATACGTACTTTAGACTTGACTCTAGTCGAGACTATAGTCCTGACTTTAGTAAAGAATATAGTCTAGATTATAGTCCACAATATAGTAAAGACTATAGTGCAGAATATAATAAAGCCCAGAATACAGATCAGTCTATAGGCTAATGTGGATTCGTTCATCATTTACAAAATTCGCCCACTGTGCGGGGATTAAGTAAGTCGACTTGACATGAGAGATGATTTGGCAGATGACGGAACGGGAACCACATTAACCATATTTATATACACATATATTCTCTATTTTATATATGCATGTTTCGATGGAATTTTCTTGACCATCATCCGTAATTGTAATTGACATTATAACCACTGCGCAAACATATTTTCATAAAAAGATAATATAATTTTTTTATTTCCTGCAATTTTAAAATTGAAATTGCATTTTATCCTTTGTTTTTATTCTCAACCATTCTACTCAATTAGATTAATTATATAAATATTTAAAAATTATTTATTTTAAGCACACATTAAGAACTTTAGAGCCATTAGATTTGCAAGCAGCAACAAATGCTAACAAATTCAATTGCGTAGTGAATTTTAATTAAAAAAGTCTCTAATTAAATAATGAAACTTTAATGGCAAACAATGACAGGAAACAGGCTTTTAATGGCGAAATAAAAATTAATGGTGTTCAACCGGTATAAACAAATAATTTAAAGTGTTTCTAAAATCGAGTTAATTATATAATTTTATAGAGAAATAATGAAATGAATACCTTCAGGAGTAGGAAAAACATTAAATAGAAAAAAATTGTATTAAACTTCTATCCTATGGACATTAAAATTAGAAAAATGTAAGCATCAAGGATGTACCATGAATTTACTTAATATGTATGTACGTATGTACCACGCATGTTTTTATCACATTTATTACCTGAATGTAAAATTGCCACAATATTCATCTAATTGACTTTCATCCGGTTCGATGGGTTCATGAAATTTACCAAATATTTCTTTCATGGAATCCGATAAATAATCTTCTTCCACAAAATACTCTACATCACCGGTGGGTGCTGCATGCGACCAAACGTTGCTTTCGTTTAATAATTCCTCTTGGCTAATGGAAAACTCAGAACGCATTAAACGGCTGTAAATAAATATAAAAAATAAAGATACAAATAAAATTTCAATGAAATTTAATTCTTATTGATTAAGCTACGACTGTAAAGTAGTTGAATGTAAATAACTAGTTTTCAATACTAAAGTAACTTTTTTGGTGAACTTTTTTATACCCAACATCAAAAAAAAAAAAAAACAGCGGGTATATTGAATTTGTTGCATGGAAATATTATCTATAGACCCACAAAAGTATACATTCAGGGTTTTTATTAAGTATTAAGACGATCGGGGAAAGTCCGTCCGTCTGCCCGTACATCCTTCTTTCTGTTAATATATAGGTAAGGTGCATCGGTCCTAATTTATCTTTAAATACGAGTATAGCGATGTATACGACATAAATCATACAATCCGAAATCTCTCTACCAAATTGTAGTTAGTTAGTTAGTTAGTTAGTTAGTTAGTCAGTCAGTTAGTAGTTAGTTAGTTAGTTAGTTAGTTAGTTAGTTAGTTAGTTAGTTAGTTAGTTAGTTAGTAGTTAGTTAGTTAGTTAGTTAGTTAGTAGTTAGTTAGTTAGTTAGTTAGTTAGTAGTTAGTAGTTAGTTAGTTAGTTAGTTAGTTAGTTAGTTAGTTAGTTAGTTAGTTAGTTAGTTAGTTAGTAGTTAGTTAGTTAGTTAGTTAGTTAGTTAGTTAGTTAGTTAGTTAGTTAGTTAGTTAGTTAGTTAGTTAGTTAGTTAGTTAGTTAGTTAGTTAGTTAGTTAGTTAGTTAGTAGTTAGTTAGTTAGTTAGTTAGTTAGTTAGTTAGTTCTCGGGGGAGTTTTCCAGATTTTTCCTACCGAACGCGTCCCCGGGTGGCGGATAGGGGGTGGTGATGGACCATCTGTCCTCTCCCAGCTTTAATTTCACTTAAGCTGAGGGAGGGCAGATTGTCCACCACCTGGGAATATTATATTCCCCGCGGACCAAAAAACTGGAAAAAAAAAAAAAAAAAAAAACAAATATGGAAAATAAAAATAAAAAGATAAAAGTTACGGTGCAGGGCCTAAATAACCCAGTACCGGCGGCAAGTGTTGATCTACTCGCGAGTCACGTGTCGTCGTCATCCTGCAATCGTGAGCAGAATACTACTACGGAGGTGGGTACCTTGGCCTCCGTGGCGGACAATGCGTCAAGTGTACAGCATGCCGCTGGCAAAAATATAGGGGTGAAAGAGAAGGATGTACTCGGAGAGAGCTCTAAGCTACCTCAGCCTTTAAATATAGGTGAGGGTTCCGACTCTGAATCCTCAGATGATAATAATAATAATACCATTATAGCAAATCCCAAAAAGGATGAAGTAGAGCAAATGGTGAAAGAGGTGAGTGATAGCATAGCTAAACTACCTATTACTAAGAAAAGACTTTCTGGAGCACAGAGGAGGAAGTTGAAAAAGATGCTTCAGGAAATCATAGTTAGTCAATCCCACGACACTCCAAAGGAATCGGACTCTCTCACAAGATCTGAGGCAAAAAGGATCAGGTCACCCGAGGAGTTGACAACTGAGAATAAGCCTAAGAAGAAAAAGAGCTCCCCGTCTTCTAATACACAGTCGAAGCCAAGCCATACTTCACTCAAAGGAATCTCAAGTGAGAATCCTGCGAGTAAGGGTGACAACGCCAAGCCAGATATTCCGAAGATGAACACGTCGGCGAAATCAACCTCGAAGGTAAGGGAATCTCAAAAGAAGCCCCGAAAAACGAGGAAGGAGAAGCTAGACGGAGGAAAAGGTAAAGAGCCGCCATCTTACGCCAAAGTTGCCAGAAGTAGGCACCGGGACGATCTCTGCTATGCAGTTTACGATGCCGGTAATCCGACAGGCAAAATTCCAATAGACCAACAGAGTAAAATAGAAGACCTGGTCAACAATAAGATAGTGGACCATGCAATAGCTTCAAAGGGCAAACAACCAATAGAGAGCGAGAGCTGCGAGTTCAGCATGGGCGTGATGTTGATGAGGTTGGCATCTCACCAATGTGTTAGCACCCTAAAGAACTTGGTGGAAAGTATCCCTCCTCCCTGGGACGGCGCTAGGCTGGGACTGGCAAAGAAGAGCGAGCTTCCGGTGCTCCTAAAGTCCACTGTCTACATAAAAGGATGGGGCAGTAAACTGGCTAATGAACGTATACTGGAAATTCTTGGAGGTCAAAATGCTGAGCTGGCCGTGGAAAAATGGGATGTCTTTTACAGGAAAGAAGAACCTGAGGGAACTTTATTTGTAATAGGTATCGACCAGAAATCCATGGCTAGTCTTGCCAAGAATAAAGGTAGGGCTTACTTCGCCTCTAAATCTGTCATATTCAAAATTGGGAAGGTGCCGATTGGAAGGGCTGTTACAACAAGCCTCGAAAAGGACACTAAAAAACCTAAGACCACAGTATCCACTACTGATAACGTTGAGGAGTCAAATCCTAAAATCGAGGAATTTACCATTAACTCGCCAGAAGAAAGTGTAGTTGCCCTTTCCAAAATTGGGAAGGCGCCGATTGAAAGGGCTGTCAAAACCGGCCCCGACAAGGACACTAAAACACCTAAGACAGTACCCAAAGCATCATTAGCAAGTACTAGCAATGTTGAGGAGTCAAATCCTAAAAGCGAGGAGGAAATCACTCACCCGCCAGAAGACAGAACAGCAATGCTCTCCAGAATTGGGAATGTGTCTATTAAAAATACTGCTATTCCTATGCCTGATAAGGACACCGCAGTGCCATCAACAGTACTCACTGCATTAATAGCCACTTCAGGCTATCCGGAGGAGTCAAATCCAAAGAGCGAGGAGGTGACCACCAACTCGCTGGAAGACAGTTTAATGGATGACCATGATTGAGGTTATCCAAATAAACCTCCATCGGAGCGAGACAGCTACCAACGCTCTGATGGCTAAAATCAACACAGGTAAAATACATATAGCTTTAATCCAGGAACCTTGGACGATTCGCAACAAGGTTTCTGGATTAAATCACGTAAATTTCCAACTTTTCTACGCTGATACAGGATCTCGCCCGAGAACATGTATCTTATGTCACAAGAACTTATGTTTTCTCCTCTCAACAGGATTATCAACATCGGATGCAACGGTGCTGAAGCAAGGTCGAGGCAACATATACCTTGCATCTATTTACCTGCCTTTCGATTCTCCGACCCTACCACCAACGTCGGATCTGATGAAACTGGTTGAAGAGGCACAAAGGAAAAATAAGAAAATTGTAATAGGTTGTGATGCCAACTCGCATCATGTAGCTTGGGGTAGTACAAACACCAATCGCAGGGGACAAGCCCTCATGGATTTCTTTAATACTAAAGACTTGATAACATTGAACTTAGGTAATAAAGCTACCTTCGTCAATAGAATCAGAGAAGAAGTATTAGATATAACTATATGTTCAGAAGAGCTTATAAACGAAATTCAGGATTGGAGAGTTTCGGACGAGCACTCCTTTTCTGATCATCGGTACATAAGATTCAAAATACTAAGGCCACCACCAAAGCCGATAAAGTTTCGGAATAAGTCTAAAACTAATTGGACAATGTTCGGGGCCTTACTAAAGAACCGTTTAGGTCAGGACACTTTTCAATGTCGAAATAAAGAGGATATAGATGCCAAAGTGGAAACGTTCACAAGTGCCCTGGTTGAATCGTTCGAGGACAGCTGCCCTCTGCGAGAGCGGAGATCTGCCCAGGAAAAACCCTGGGTAACTGGGGAGATCCGGAACCTTGGGAAGACTCTTCGCAAACTATTTAACCGGGCACGGCGTAAAAAGACCGCAGTATACTGGGATGAGTATCGTAATAAACTTGGTGAATATAAGAAAATCGTTCGAAGAGCCAAACGAGACTCCTGGAAACTTTTCTGTGAACAGGTAGATAGCGTAAATGAGGTATCGAAGATAAAAAATTCCTATCCAAAACTCATGTCCAACCGGAATCTATGATCGATGACACGGGCAGGAGGCTTGAGGATATGGAGGAGACAATGAAACTCCTAATGGATTCTCATTTCCCACCCGGTATATCGAATAACATAGATGAACCGATATTGGAGGAAGGGGAGGGTAACACGGAAATAGTTATTACAACTGACATGGTTAAAGGGGCAATCAAGAGCTTTGCTCCCTATAAAGCTGCAGGGCCGGATGGAATTTTCCCGGCACTTTTGCAGATGGAGGCGGGACTGGTTTCCGTACATCTGTCACAGATATTCACTGCATGCTTAAAATTGGCATATACCCCAGTTAAATGGCAGGATGCAAGGGTAATATTTATACCCAAACCAGGGAAACCTAGCTATGCGACACCTAAGTCCTATCGACCGATAAGTCTTACGTCCTTCCTACTTAAAACCTTGGAACGGATAGTCGATAGCATGGTTAAAAGCAGCATACCATACAATGACCTTAAATATAAGCAGCATGCTTATGTAAAGGGACGATCGGTGGAGACCGCTTTAAATGAAGTTGTCCACTACATAAGTGAATCTTTCGATAGCAAACTGTATACACTGGCAGTATGCATTGACATCGAAGGCGCTTTCAATAACGTGCACACTGATACCCTTATCCAATCCCTAGACCAGTTTTATGTTGACCGGGTGCTCCGTAACTGGATCAACTACATGCTAAGGAACAGATGGATAAGCTGCGAGATGTACGATATAACTATCAGGAAAAGGTATTTCGCGGTATACCACAGGGTGGCATTTTGTCACCTTTACTCTGGGTCACCACGATTAATAGCCTCCTAAGGACCCTAACCGAGAAAGGACTTAGACCTGTCTGCTATGCAGACGATGTCGTAATACTTTAAAGGGAAAGGATCCAAATTACTTGTGTAGAAGAGCTGAGGAGGCTCTGAATACGGCCTTGAGCTGGGCTCAACCGAGAGGCCTCAATGTTAACCCGGCGAAGACGGAAATCTGTCTTTTCACAAGAAAGACAAAAATTTCTACATATACTGAACCTTGCTTCTTGGGCAAGAAGATACCGGTGACAGACAAAGTTAAG